TGGCAAGACATGCGCTTGGAGATGAGCACTGTCTCAACCACAGGCTGCTTCTCCAGCCACTGTGCTAATATCAGTACAGAGATCAGCAACAAATTAACCTTCCCTTATTTTTTAGGCTTCCTTTATAACAAGGCTGAAGTCAGTCAATTTAGTGCATTATTTCACAGAGTAAAAGGAGACTGATCAAGAACTTAACTTGGCTTATGGCTCATTACTAGGCAGTGCTCAGTTATACTGCAGCATTTTCACATATGATGACAGTTTGGGTCTTGGAAATAGCATGACTCAAGTTTTTGCATGAGTGGGAGCACACATGACTCACTCCAGCTTGTTGCTGTTTCTGCTGTTACTGCTTTTGTGGTGGCTCTTTCTAGCCCACAGTCACAACTTAAGTTGTCTCCAGGAGATAAGACCCTTTGCAAAGCGTCCTGTTCACACTGGCAGAATCCAGGCATTATCCAAAGCTACATCAGAAAGATGACAAGTGAGACAAGGGTGAGAAACCCTCACAAATGCTCAAGAGACCAACTCAGTCTCTTCTGTGAGCCCCCACTCAGGGGCACTGAGGAACAGTTTCCTAAGCCCTACTTCTGTGTGTCTCTAACTGAGGAACAGTTTCCTAAGCCCTACTTCTGCTGTGTGTCTCTTGGTCTAGCAAAAGAAGACCTGCAAAACTGTAAATATTGTGTTTATAAGAATGAAGAGATTCTTGGTACTAGTTGAAACTAAAAGGACTCTCTAAACAGCCAAATATGACATGTCATCCTTGAATTTTAGCTTTCCTTTTTTAAGTCCTCATCTGAAGGCACCTAGCAGGCAGACTATCACACCTGAATAACTTGAGCCACTCTACTTCAATACTTGACTGACAGAACATGCAAACAGGATTTTGTGTACCAGTTCCTTTTCTCTTGAAGGAATGACCGATAGTTGTGGTAATTTCCTGCTGCTTTCCATCATGACCAACGATATATAGTGAGCACCAGAGAGCTGAACCTGCAGCCACATCTGCCTGAATATACCTGGTGAGGTTCAAAGCTCCCAACAGTCAAGGAGGATTTAAAACGGAAAGCTCAATGAACTCACAGTAATGACAGATCTGAATTCAGCCCGGATGGTGACAAAGACCAGTTCTTAACTTCTCTTAGACCTGAGATACCCAACAGTAGTGAGTGACTCAATAATCTACTTCCTTTGGAGACTTAAAAGTATGTTTTTCTCAGCAGCTGTTATATCTTGATTTCAAATAATTTCTGTGTTGACCCCAGATACCTCTTACTTCCAGATGCAATGAACAGCTATCAGCTATCAGCTATAGTTTGGTGTGCTCTAAGAACAGTCAAGACTTTCATTTATGACAACTTCTTCATTTCTCTGAACATGAAACTTCTGACCTTGCAACATTATCACATTATCCTACTCACCTGCAGCTGGCAGGTCTTCCACTATGAAAGAAGTGTCAGCACTTCCAGTTCCCTCTGCAGTTGGAAGTGTGCTTGGGAATCGGGGTGTCACTGAAGAAAGTAAAAAGTAACACTTATAAAGTTGGATGGGATGACAATGGAAATACTCAATTTTAATCATGTTTTGAATTCTCACTTATTTCATTACTCAAGCAGAATGTGCTGTAAATTAACCTTCTCAGCAGACCATTTTAATTTCTTTCCCAAATAAATAAATAAAGTTGAGTGAATCTCTCCTGTTTCAATCCAGGTGAAGGATTTTGCCTTTATTTCTGCTATACTTCATGGTGCTTCTGTTACATTATTTATCAAGCCTGTTAAAGCCCCTCTGAATGCAAGCCCAGCCCTCTGCTTTCTTGACCATTCACTCAGGTTTGACACCATCCACAACATTTGACTTGTGCTTCCTTAAACCTACAGAGACACACCCATAGGCATCTCAAAGAAAACTTCCCAGCTACCAATATAAGCATCTGGAGATTCCTTATGAGGCCAGAGCCAGGGTAACATAGATCTCTCTGCTGCACAGAAGAAAAAGAAAAAAAAAAAAAGAAAGGATTGGTGCTGGTTACCCTTTGTACCTCCAGGAAAAGGGACAGACTCATCTGAGTAGAACATATAGTCATCTTCAGTCCTCGTGTCAGCTGCTTGAAATTCAGTTGAAAAATCTGGGAGGGCATTGGGTGTCATCATAGTTTCTGGAAAAGCTTCATTTGTTGTCACAGCAAATGTTGTGGGAGCAATGGTCTCCAGTGCAATTTCTGCTGGAGAGGCAGTGGTTGCAGTTGTTTCTGGGGGGACACCGGTTGTCAGGAAGGCAGCAGTCTCTGTTGTTGCTTGATGATCAGAGGTTGGTTGGGGAGCAAAAGTTGTTTTTCTAAAACGTTTGGGGGAAACAGGAGCTTTTCTCGTGGTGGTTGTCATCACTGGAGGGGCTGTGTGGAACAAACACAACCAAGAGAAAGCCAGATCAGAACAGCCACAACCAACCCTGAGAAAAGCCAACCCAGAAATTAATTAAAATGACATAGCTGCTAAAATACTGAGAATGGAGGTGGGAGAACTGCTATTTTAAATGGTTGTTTAATTAGGAGAAAACATGCCTCAGCCAAAGTAATTCCCAGATTTACAATTTGGTTTTTTTTGTTGTTTTTTTTGGTAAGTCTCAGACACCTCCTGTGGTAAAGGGTGAACTCTTACAGAAATCGAAGGGCCAGAACTTTGTGTGGTAGAACCTAAAAATTTGCAAAATTTGTGATTTTGATTGTCAGTGTCCTCATAAAAATAAACAAACTAGCTCAATTTTCAACTACAAGCTTCTCTCTAATATTTTCAACTGGTGCTTTTTTATGAACTCTGTTGACCTCAAATTCAGGGATTGCAGAATTTTTTCCCGACTCAAGAGTCCTGTGTAGACTCCCATGAAAAAAAATGTCTTTCTGCAGCATGGAAGGTGGGTACCACCTTTTTCTCTGTGTCTTGCAGTACTTTTCAGCTTCTTCTTGGCTTTGTAAGACATGCTACCCTGCAGCTCAACAAAATAGGAAGGGGGAAAAGCCCTTTCAGACTCCAAGACAAAATCTATAAATATAAGGGTGTCCTTATGACATGATCCAAACAAAAGCCTTTTTGGTGCTGGACTTAACCCCAAATGCAAAACCTATTTTAATTTCAAGAGCTTTTCCAATTATAAATCCCTTTTTTAATTCCATAATATTTTAAAAATGTAAATATATCTACACAGTGGAAAATTAAATATTTCATTTGAAAGGAGAAAAAAAGGGGGGTAAAGGTTACTATTTTCTCATCAAAACTGCTCACTGAATGCAGTTCCAATCAGCAGCTGGTTGCAGACCTCCCTTGAAAACTACATAACACAGGAAAACAAGTAAACTCCAATTTTTAACTCATACCCAGCAAGAGGTTTCTCCCTGCTGGATGCATCACAAGGGCCCCAAAACTCACCTCTGACCACCTCCAGTTTCATGTTCTGTTTGATGTCATTGAACCAGCCCGGGATCTCAATTCGGCAGCAGTAGGTACCTGCATCTTCTGCTGTCACTGCCCCAATGGTGAGGGACAAATCTCCATAGGAAATATAGCCCTGGAGACTGTATCTCTGAGATTTTCTGAAAGTCACCCTACTGCCAGTGGTGTGCAAAATTTTGCCATTGCACTTTGAATTTGGGCACGGGCCTCTGCCCCAGCACATGTCAGGGATGTTGTTATACTGAGCCGTCTGGTAGAAGCAAGGCAGCTGGACAGGTTGCCCCATCACTCCTCTAATAACAGTTTCAGATGTGGTGTGGGCTGTCAAGGAAGAAGAAAAGATGAGGGTTGGCAATCTCTGATGCACAACTCCACCTGTGCAACTAAACGTGGCAAGAAACAAACACTCCTGCCTGCAGACAGGCCACATTCCCTGATCTCCTGAGCCTTCTCCAGCAGCTCATGGCCCAGGGCAGGAGGGGTGACAGCAGGCGTTGGCTTGCTGCTGCTCCAGCCCCAGCCAGCTGCTCATGAAACACATCACTCACATCAAACGTGTGGTGAGCGAAGCTGAGCTCTGCTGCTGGCAGCCCGAGAGCAGCCTAGACCCGTGCAAATGGAATTTAGGGACTCTGCTCCCATCTCATCTCCTAAGAGCCTGTTTGAAAGTTGTTTAGAAACCTGGTGCAAAATACATCTGGTTTTCTCAGCCCGCAGTTATCTCCTTCAAAAAGAGAAATGTGGTCATAGTTGCCTTTCACTGACAGTCTCCATAGCAGGGTCCTGTCACTGGGAACTACTGAAAAGAGCCCTTTTATCTTGTTTTCTTTTTCCTCTGTGTTATCATTCACATATGGTGAAGCAGGAACAGAGGGACTTTGAAAGCATCCAGATCTGGTAGCTTGCTGAAGCAAGAGGATCAACCCGCAGATCTGATGTCTCATGGCCAGCTTGCCTACCTCAAAGAGGTTGCTGCTATTATCACCAGCTTTGGCCCTGGTTTGCCAAAAATTTCTATTTTGCCAGCTGTTTGAATGCCTTTTCTTTTTGGCACAACTCCCAGAGAGCAAACAGATGCTTCCAACTGTGTCCATGTCTCTCTTGTTTTGTCTTTAATGGACTATTCCCCAGGTGAGGTTTTGGTCTGTGGCAGGCTGCCTCATGGCTTGTTATTGGGATGACATTTCAGCTTCATTATTGCTTATCCCATTGGAAAGATAAGCCAACTTGTTCAGGTTTCCACATCTCCAAACACTAGAAGAGGAGAGGCAGACAAAACAACATGCAATCTGGTGTGAAGGGCAGAAGCTTTTGCAGTGAAATGAAAGCAGGGTGTGCCAAAAAAATAATTCCTGAATACAGGAGAAGGCATTGCAAGATGGCTGCTTGTTTTAGTCCTTGGAAAGGGTAAGTTCATTTGCCTTGTTACAGCAAAGCAGTGAGAGCAAACAGCCTCTTTTGTGATGACAGAACAAAAGAGCTGACCTTGAAAGTATCCCTAGGGAAGCAGCAGGTTAGTCATCGAGCAGGTTAGCACACATTTTCAAGTCACCCCAGCAAAGATATGTGTAAAAACAACACTAGCTTGAACTATTCCTGGAGTTAAGGTCACTGCTGCTTGAGGAAAAATGGCCTTATCTTCTGTTATTTCATCCCAGCCCTGTACAGCACAAAAGTCACTTCATTAAGCAACCCATTAACAAATGAAAAGTTGTCTGCTCTGTTCTTTGAAAGAAGCGGAGCCCTGAGATTAAAAAAATCACAACAAAACAGATAGATAAAAAAAAGAACAGTGAAGACACTAGGCACCAGAGTGTCTCCAGTGCTATTTCCCACCACTATTCATACTAGAAAGTTACAAGTTTTGCAGATTCGTATTCTCTTTCAATTTA